TAGCGGGGTGGGGGTGTGGGGTTTGGGATTGGCGCCAGGCAGGCGGGCACTGTGGGTGGGCTGAGAAGCTTGGCGCTCCCCCACCAGTCAGTCCTAACTTGCATCTGCTGGCCTGATCACTTGGTTCCATAATCAGGCCAGGAGGCACCGGATCAGAGGCTGGAAGGCATCCGCTCCACACTCTTCCCCGAGTGTGCAGACCTGGGAGCGGCTTGGCCATGGCCATGGCCGGGTCGAGGAGGGTCTCCGTGTGGATGTCCTATTGGGGACTTTTGATGGTTTCCTGCAGAACTTCAATCTCCAGTCCGACAGTTTTAGAGCCTATCTACTGGAATTCCTGGAACTCCAGGTAAGTGGCGTCCAAGTTCGCTTTTGCTCACCTGACCCGGGAGGGGTCCGCCATATGGTCCAGGCAGGAGGATGCCTCAGAGCCTGTTTCTAGAACCTGAGGCCCCGGTGCCCCACTTCTCCCCCGCCACATTTCTCTAGGTGGGGACCGGCTGGACTTTCCAGCCCCCCCTCCCAGTGTCTCTTCCTCTGGCTCCCCAAACTCAAGTGCTCCAGGGTGCCCAACGCCCTGGCGACTCGGGTGGCACCTCGGGAAAGGTGTCTGATGGCGCTATCCGGTCCTCCCTTCTTTTTGGAGAATAGAGAACATCACCACTAATGGGGGTGCAGACGCGCATCGACGGGGGCGGGGGGGTGGCTCGTGAGCCAGGCAGAGGTGATGAGCTCTCGAGGAGGGTCAGAGCCACCAGACTGGGCCCCGCTGGAAGGCAACAGACATTGGGGATCTGGGGCAGTGGATTACCCTTTGGGGAGGGAACAGTGGTCCCGCAGTGTCAGGGAGCCAGAGTGAAAAGGAGTCTGCTAGGCAGCCGGGAGGTGTGCAGGGGAGCTCGCTGGCTCTAGGAGAACTCGGGCTGCCCGAACTCCGCTCTCCGGCCTTACCCTTCCTGTAGGAATCGGTAGCCCAGCCCCAGCCTTGTCCCAACAGCTAGCTCAATTTTAACCGCGCCTTTTGGGAAAGCTCAGAGCCTGGCCCAGTCAACGCCACAGTCTTCGTATTTGGGGAGTCGCTAGTCTCTTGATCAGACTTGCTTTTAGCAAAGCGCACGGAGGGGAGAAAGCCAGGCCTGAGACTAACTAACTCAGGTTTAGAAAATGCCTGCCATCCTTTGGGATTTGTGGCCAGGGTCTAGGTCACCGTACCGGTTACCTCCTCATGCAACACAAGCAGGAAAGTGCTGTGGGGAGTTCTGGTATCAGCTCTGGAAGAGTGTGGAGACGCTGGCTGGCTCCTGGCTTGGAGGTAGACCTATGAGATTAGAAGCAAAATCAATGGCCTAATTGGAGTTGAAGGTTTGGTGAGTGGCTTCAGAGTAGAGATGAATGTATTGATTTAGAAGTTAGCCCATAAGCCAAGAACTGCTGCTACAGTCTTGAAAGTGTTAAATTTCAAATTCACCAACATAATTGACCAAACACATTACCCTTTGAAAGGGCAAAAATTCTTCACTTGTATATGACCCGAAATAGATATTTTTGCCTGTTGCAAGAAGGCACTTGTTTAAAGTTACTTTGGCCATCTTTGATGTAGTCTGGTATAGATTTTTGTTTTGTGTTGTGTTTTAATGTAAGTGTTATCTTGGCGTGTCATCTTTGCAGCCAAACAGGATCTACAGGGACCTCGTGGTGCCCCAAGGAGCCTGGCTGCGAGCTGAGCACTGCCACCGCCACTCAGACTGGGACCCCCGTGGTGCCTGAGTCTGATGCTAGCTCGAGGTGCCTGCAGAAGTCACCCTTCCCTTCTGAATGTTAACGATGGGCCCGCCCCTCCTCCCTTCCCCAGCCTGGCTGCTTCTCTCCACTTTGCACTTTAATTCACAGCCTTTTTGAGAGACAGCCCCTCCTCTTCCGGTCTGGATTTAATATTTATATTTAAGTGTAGTAAAGAAATTCCCATGAAACCCCTCAGAGCCACAGAGCCACATAAGTATGTTTTTGTGTTCGTTGTGACCACTATACTTGTGTGTGCAGCAGGGAGGATTAGAAGCATTGACTTGTCTGGGGGAGAGGGAGCAAGCAGTATTCTGCGTGTCTAGCATCTGGAGAGGAGTGTCTTCTCTTTGTTATGTGTTAGTGAGGGAGTGGAGACTTATGTTTACTCACTAATTTTGGTCTTTAATAGTATAGTTTTCTGAGCTGTGGCCACCGATCCAGAGAGACTTGCTAAGGGCTTGGGTATTAGAGGAGCAGGCCTCCCCAAAATTCTTTCTAAAGGATTTTCTATGTATTAGAGCACTCTGCAAGTCAGCGCTGTGGGGATTGGCGCCAGTCAGGCGCACACTGCGGATAGGATGCAAAGCTTAGCACTGCCCAGCGAGTCCATCCTGACTACGGTTCATCCCGCGGGATCACTTTGGTGCCATAATCAGTCCAAGAGGCCCTGGATCAGAGATGGAAGGCATCTGCCACGGGCATAGGCATCGCACTCGTCCTGGAGTGCACAGAACAGGGAACAGCTTGGCCATGGCCATGTCCTGGTCCAGGAGGGACTCCTTGTGGAAGTCCTATTGGTGACTTTGGATGGTTTTATGAAGAACTGGCTGCCTTCTCCACTTTGCACTTTAATCTCCAGACCAATAGTTTTAGAGCTTATCTACTGGAATTCCTCCAACTCCACGTAAGTGGCGTCCACAAACTCTTCTTCTCACTGGGCATTGGGCTCCGTTGTGTGGTCCTTTTGGGAGGAGGCCCTGAGCCTGTTTCTAGAGCCTGAGGTGCCCATACCCAAGTCCCCACCCCGCCACCGTTCTCTAGGTGGGGGCGGGCCAGACTTGAGAGCTCATGCTCCAAAGAGCTCTTCCTGGGGCTCCAAACTCAAGTACTCCTGGGTGCCCGATGCCCTGGCAACTCGGGTGGCAAATCGGGAAAGGCTTCTGATGACTCTACCTGGACCTCCTTTCTTTTTGGAGACGGAGAACATCGCCACTAAAGGCCCTGCAGATGTGCATCAAGGGGCGGTCTCTGGAACGCGTTAGAGATGCTGTGATCTTGTAGAGCGCGGGAGCCACCTGCCGGGGCCCTGCAGGAAGGCAACAGAAATTCAGGGTCTGGGTTATTGGATCGTCCCTTTAAGGAGGGGACAGTGGGCCCATAGTGTAGGGAGCCGGCGTAAATCCGAGACTGCTCCACAGCCAGGACTTGTGCAGGGGAGCTCGTGGGCTCCTGGGAGAACTCGGGCTTCCCGCCCTCTGCAACCTCGCCTCTCCCTTCGCGTTGCCACCGGTGGCCCAGCCTCCGCGAGGTCCGGAGTGCTGGCTCCATTTTAACAATGTGTTTTGGGAAAGCTCAGAGCCTTGCCCTGTCAACTCTGCAGCCTTCGTATCTGAGTGTTGCTGGTCTCTTGATCAGACATGTTCTTAGCAAAGCAAACGAAGGGGAGAAAGTCAGGCCTGAGACTAACTTTTAGGTCTGGGCTCCCAGGGTGTGCTCTGGTTTAGAAAATGCCAGCCATCCTTTGGGATTCGAAGCCAGGGTCTCGGGAACCACACATGGTTCTAACTAAGGCTAGGAAGTGCTGTGGGGAATTCAGGTCTCAGCCATGGGAGAGTATGGAGACGCTGGGCGGCTCCTGGCTTGGAGGCAGACCTTTGAGATTAGAAGCAAAGTCAATGG